ACAAAAAAGGAGCATCGAATATCGCCGACGCACTGACTCGCCCTCTGTCCAGATTCACGCGATATTACTCGCCCAGACCAGTCCACTGCTGACAGGCCTATTTACCCACGGATATCAAACAGACCCGTTCTTTACAGGAGGCAACTCACAGCAATTCGTAACGGCAAAAGGAGTCTTTTACGTAAAAACGGGAACCGACCGCATCTGGGTACCGGGGTACACGCTACTACGGGAACTACTGTTACAAGAAGCACACGAGGGAGTTACATCGGGACATTTCGGGGTAGAAAAAACACGGCAGCAACTGCAGCGATACTACTACTGGCCGGAAATGTTGACCGATGTGCAACGACACGTGGCATCGTGTCCCACTTGCCAGCTCATGAAGTCAAGCAGGAAGCGGCCGGCGGGACAATTACAACCCATCCCGCCTCCAGAGCGTGCTTGGCAGCAGGTGACAATGGACTTCGTCACGGGGTTACCAGCTGGGGCGAGTGGGAATGATGCGATCTTGGTCGTCGTCGATCGACTCACGAAGATGGCACATTTCGCAGCATGCAGGAAATCAATCACAGCCGAAGAAACCGCCCGACTCTTCATCACCACCGTCGTTCGACTGCACGGGATACCCGCATCGATCATCAGCGACAGGGACACGAAGTTTACCAGCAACTTCTGGCGGAACCTGTGGCAGCAGTTCGGCACACGACTTCAATTCAGTTCATCCTATCACCCCGAAACCGACGGACAGACGGAACGGACAAACCAAACCATGGAGCAGCTGATTCGAGCCACGTGCGACGATCCGAACACGTGGGAACAGCAGCCGCCGCTCATCGAGTTCGCGTACAACAACGCACCATCAGCCACGACGCAACAGTCGCCGTTTTACTTGAATTACGGACAAGACCCCACAGTACCCATGACACCGAATCCCGACAACCCCGTCCCACGAGCACAACAATTCGCCGAGATTTTGCAAGCAGCACGGACCAGGGCAGCAGACGCAATTAAAAAAGCCAACATCATCGCTAAGCGCAACGCCGATCGCAACCGCCGACCTGTCACTTACTAGCCAGACGACCTGGTACTACTCGATACCCAGAACCTCCGCCTGCCCATCACTCCAAAACTTCGCCCCCGATATTGTGGGCCATTTCGCATCAGCCACATGATAACACCCGTCACCGCCCACCTCCTCCTCCCCGCTGACTGGTACGTCAGCCCGTCATTCCACGTCAGTCTACTTCGCCCTTACATCCCATCCATAAGCCAACTGCCACGAAATCGCCCAGCCAGCATGACACGTCCCCCAACCGAACCACTCTGTCAAATGTTGTAGCCTGTAGTGAGGTTTGTCTTAGAGGGTACAGAAGTTAGGGTTTGTCATATGTACCCCAACCAACATCAATGCAACACTCATTCCTCATTCTGACATGGTATCAGCTAGGTTAGGATCCTGTGGGATCCCGTTCCTCCGTTCTCCGTTCGTACCTCCCGAGCCTGATCCTACCTCTCGTTCGTACCAGTTTCGTAGTTACCGCGCCTAGTACCGAGCCTAGCGTCATCTCCCCCGTCGCGTCACGCCTGTTCCCCCCCCGTCGCGTCACGCCCGTTCTCCCTGTCGCGTCGCGCCCGTTCCCCCCCGTCGCGTCGCGCCCGTTCCCCCCGTCGCGTCGCGCCTGCCTGTTACCCCCCCCCGTCCCGTCGCCCTGTCCCGTCACGTCGCCCCGTCCCGTCGCCCTGTCCCGTCGCCCTGTCCCGTCACATCGCCCTGTCCCGTCGCCCTGTCCCGTCGCCCTGTCCCGTCGCCCTGTCCCGTCGCGTCGCCCTGTCCCGTCGCGTCGCCCTGCCCTGTCCCGTCGCGTCGCCCTGCCCTGTCCCGTCGCCCTGTCCCGTCGCGTCGCCCTACCCCGTCGCGTCGCCCTGCCCTGTCCCGTCGCCCTGCTCCGTCGCGCCGCCCTGCCCCGTCGCGTCACCCTTGTCCTCTTCTCCTCCGTCTCGTTCTTGGGCTACTCGTCGCTCCCCTCGTGCTCGTCCCTCGTCTCCTGTTCCCTTCACTGACCTTCGTACTGCCTTCCTTCTTTCTAGTCCACCTCGTCCGTCTCAGTCTGTGCTTCCGTCTCCTCCTGAGTCGGCCCTCACTGTGTCGCTCCCTACTCCTGTCACTGACTACTACCGCACGTACCGTCCTGTTCTCTCTCGTGTTCTCGCCTCTCTTGTTACTCACCCTCGTGCCTCTGTGTCCTCTGTGTCCGCTCTTACTGCCGCAGTTACTGACTTTGCCTCTACCCGCCGCCTTGACTACGCCACCACGCTTGTGGCTGCTCCTCCTACCAGTCCTCTGGCCGTCGGGGGTGTGTCTGCCCTTGGCCGTGACGCCCTAGAGGACAGGCAGTTTGAGCTAGAGTTCCTGGCGGCCGCTTCCCCTCATCTCTGTGCCATGCTCCTCGCCCCTGAGGGTGACCCCGACGCCCTTGACATTCCGACTCCTCGCACTTACGCTGAGGCAGTGTCAGGGCCTTGGGCCTCTCAGTGGAGAGCTGCCATGGACGCAGAGATGGCCTCCTACAGATCCACAGGCACCTACGTCGATGAGGTTCCCCCCCCGGGGGCGAACGTAGTCGACGGCATGTGGATCTACAGGGTGAAGCGGCCACCGGGATCTCCCCCGGTCTTCAAGGCGCGCTACGTGGCTAGAGGTTTCAGTCAGCGCGAGGGAGTTGACTTCTTTCAGACCTTCGCACCTACCCCGAAGATGACCACTCTTCGGGTGTTACTACACGTAGCAGCACAGAGAGACTACGAGTTACACTCTCTTGACTTCTCCACTGCTTTCCTTCAGGGCAGCCTACACGAGGAGGTCTGGTTGCGTCGTCCCTCGGCCTTCACTGGCACCTTCCCTCCTGGGACCCAGTGGAGGCTGAGGCGACCTGTTTACGGTCTTCGCCAGGCCCCTCGTGAGTGGCACGACACTCTGCGTTCTACCCTCTCTGACCTTGGGTTCCAGCCGTCTTCTGCCGACCCGTCGCTGTTCGTTCGTCGTGGCTCCACACCGTTCTTTGTTCTGGTTTACGTCGACGACCTCGTTTTCGCCACTCCGGACAGGGTTGCTTTGGCAGACGTGAAGTCCGAACTGCAGAAGAGACACACGTGCACTGATCTTGGTGAACTGCGCCACTACCTTGGCCTGCAGATCACCAGGGACAGAGCCGCTCGCACCATTACACTCTCACAGTCACACATGGTGCAGCAGGTCCTTCAGCGGTTCGGGCTTCAGCACTCCACCGTACAGCGCACACCTCTAGCTGTTGACCACAGACTCACTGGTCCCTTTCCTGACGAGCCGTTTGAGCCTAGTGGTCCCTACGCAGAGCTTGTGGGTTGCCTCATGTACCTGATGACTTGTACTCGCCCGGACCTCGCCTTCCCTCTCAGCATCCTTGCGCGCTTTGTTGCGCCAGGGAGACACCGTCCTGTTCACTGGACGGCAGCTGTGAGGGTGGCGAAGTACCTAGCGACTACATCAGGCGTGGGGCTAGTTCTTGGAGGGCAGCAGTCTGTCGTACTCACTGGTCACTGTGACTCCTCTTACGCTGACGACGCTGAGACTCACAGGTCTACTCAGGGGTACTGTTTCAGTCTGGGTTCTGGAGCTGTTTCCTGGCGTTCCACGCGCTCCTCTTCTGTCTCGACCTCTACAGCTGAGGCTGAGATTTACGCTGGTGCCATGGCGGCACAGGAGTTGCGGTGGTTGACCTTCTTGCTCACTGACCTTGGTGAGCGGCCGAGCTCTGCACCGACCTTGTTTACTGACAACAAGGCGTCGATCCTCCTCTGTCGTGAGCCGCGACTGGAGAGCAGAGTGAAGCACATTCACATCAGGTACTTTCTTCTGCGAGAGTTGCAGAGGCGTGGACAGGCTCGCTTCGAGTTCGTAGAGTCCGAGGCCAACACTGCAGACATCTTCACCAAGGCGCTTCCGCCTTGTGACCACCAGAGGTGTTGTGTGCAGTTAGGCCTTGTTGACACAGGTTCTAGTCATGCGTAGACTTGAGTTTATTGCCTGCTTCGTCTGTACATTTACTATATATACTTGTGATCTCTTGGACTGGCCTTGTGGCCACTGTTGCTTGTGCTCAGAGTGTGTGGTGACGTTGTGATCCACCCTGAGCTTTGTTTTCTTTTGGACTGGTCTTGTGACCGTACTCTTTTTGTTTTTGCTAGACACCCCTCACTTAGGCTATGGGGGTGTGTCAAATGTTGTAGCCTGTAGTGAGGTTTGTCTTAGAGGGTACAGAAGTTAGGGTTTGTCATATGTACCCCAACCAACATCAATGCAACACTCATTCCTCATTCTGACACACTCATCACCCCCGAAAAAATCCTCAGCCACCGAGTCCGCGACCCTCGGGGAGCCCGACGGATCGAATTCCTAATCCGCTGGAAGGACCGAACGCCCACAGAAGACAACTGGGCCCCCCTGGATAAAATTGAGAACCACCCTGTCTTCACCGAGTATCTGCGAAGCCGAAATTTCCGCGACGTCCATGCGCTCTCGTAAGAGGGGCCTCCTTGGGGAGGGGGGTAGTGTAAGGAAATTCCCTTTTCCTTACCTCGCGTCCCTGCTCAACGCGTACATCACTGTAGCACCTCAGTCAGCACCGTTACCACTCGCGACCATCGCATCATTCATCATCCCGCCCTTTTCGCACATCGCATCCCGACCTCACGGCTCGGCTGGTAACCCGCGCTCCGGGCCTACGCTTCGACATTTTCCCAACCTCAGTCCCAGGCTCGTCGCGCGACAACCACAGTCCATTACCGTTACCACTATTGTTTCGCTATATAATCCTTCGCTCATGCCTTCGCTCATTGTACTCTTGCTTCGATAGTGCAATTCTCGTTCGTTCCCTCAATTGCACTCGTAACACTAATAAACCAATATATTTTGTAGATTTTCGATCCGTTTTCGATTTCAAAGCTAGTGTGAATTGCTGTCAACGTTGGTTGGCACCCACAGAAAGTTCCTGAGCAGAGGCAGAATACGCAAACAAAGCAACAAACAGTTTTATCTCCTCATGACTGCACATGTTGGCTCGCAAAGCAACTCGTTCATTATCAAAAGTACCTACATGGAAAGCAGCACCTCATACATATGCGCATTGCGCTATAACTGCAGAAGCACAACTGAACAGTGATCTATGTAGTGCTTTACAAAATCAACTTTCCTAAGCCTTGGAAGCTAAACGTGTTACTTAGTAACGGTCATCATATGATCTCTCTTTGCGGTCTCCGCCACCAGATCTGTCATAGGGACCAGACCTGGGCCTACCGCCACCGCCACCACGGTCAGACCCATAACGGCCTCCGCCGCCACCACCGCCGTAGCCGCCACCGCCACCACCGCCATAACCGCCACCACCGCCGCCTCCACTAGGGCACTCGCGGGCGAAATGGCCGTCTTCGCCGCACTTGTAGCAGCCACCGCCGCCGCCGCCTCCGCCTCCGCGATCCCTCGAGCCGTATCCACCACCGCCGCCGCGATCACCTCCGTATCCGCCACCACCGCCCCCATAACCGCCGCCGCCGCCGCCATAGCCGCCACCACCGCCGCGGCCACCTCCACTTCCACGAGGTTGGGCGACGTTGACGGTGATAGTCCGGCCGTCAAGTTCCTTGCCGTTCATGGCCTTGATAGCATCGTCCATGCCGGCCTTGTCGTTGAAAGTCACAAACCCAAACCCTCGAGAGCGGCCGGTTTCTCGGTCATTCACAACCTGAACAGGACGGTTTCCATCGCAACGAGCTCAGGTAAAGAGTTTCCGAACATAAGAACCCCGAACGCGCAGTAAAGCTCCCTCATATCAGAACACGGAACCCCGCCATGCATGCTTCGTCAGAAATCCGCCAATCAGGCGTCGTTAAACCCCGTCAATCAATGTCCAGGAGCAGAAGAACCAGACCGAAACATGAAATCGGCGAGGCCGGTAGCGCGCAAAAAGGTAACCCATGAAGTTTCCGAAAGTCACAATCATCGAACCTTAGCGTCAACAGCTCCATAGTCGTGGAAAGCATCCGAAAGAGCGCGGTCATCCGTGCCCCACGAGAGGCCACCCACAAAGCAGCGGAGCTCCTCGTCACTCATACTGAATCAAGCTGACTGCTGCAAGAACAGAGATCAGGTCAAGCGCGATGACAGAACACAACGTTCAGCTCTCGTTGCTGAAGTTGCTATTGCAGATGCCGCTGGTGACAAGGTAAAAGTGGAAGTGCCTCTGTTGAGAAGAAGCAAAACAAAATAAGGTTCTGGAAAAAAGTTGCTCCAGATTTGTATTGCGTCCCCAGGCTAGAAGAGGTGGAAGAGGTTGTGGGGGTTGGAGGTTGGAGAATAATGGAATATCAGGGTCACAGAAGCTGGATGGTCGTCGATCTACAATGCGACGAAGTTCCTCGGACGGCTTCGATCACATCGAGTCACCTAGGTATTTGTTTGTGACGCGAACCAAAACTCTTTACACGCTGGCTCGGCACCAGAACCATTTCACGAGGGAGGCTGTTGCCTACTTTGCGCTGGCTTGTGACCAATCAGGCGAATTCCCTGAAAGTATCTTCTGGGGTGCGGTGTGCTGTGTTGTGCTGCTCTAGAGCTCTCGAACGTGAAAGGCTTTGGCTGAAATTGAGATAAAGATACACTTTCTGGCTTATTCGATGCTAGACGTCGGAATGGTGAATGTTCAAGAGAATAAAACTCAGACTCACATATTACATAGCTCAAATTCTACAAAATTTGGAATAAAACGTGTTTGTTTACCAATCGAATCGTCATACCACGTTATCTTAGCATCTACCTTTTCAATATAGTTCTAGTTTTAATTCATCTGCACTATTTTCACGCCCAAAGTATGAAATTCTAAATATTTTTCTAGATATAGATGACATACACTAACTTTTCAAATGTAATATGTAAATTCCAAATATATCTATGTTGTCTTGCACTGACTGAAGTGAATGTCCTCGCTACAGACACAGTGCGGAAATCCATTCCGCAACGAGGCTTCGACCATCCCCTCCCCTCTCTTCCTCTCCTCCCTCCTCTTCACGACCTCCTCCAACCAAAAGCCTCCTTTCTCCTTACCTCCCTTTCCCTTCTAACTCCGAGGCTTGTTACCTCGTTTCCCACCTCGTCTCATCACCTCACCCTCGTCGCACGCATCCAGTCGCCACCATGGGGTGAGTTATTATCCCTTAATATATATGGCGTTATTGAGGCGTTGCGCGGTTTGCAGCCTCCAAACGGAGCTGTGTAGCGAGATGACAGGTCTAGGGTTTTACAGGATCACGACAGGACGTTCGTGCTGAACGTTTCATTTGCCGAATCAAGTGCCATGGGTAACGATTGCATTCGCGTGGCTCCTAAAATTTTTAAATCCGTTGCACGTAATTGCATAAACTGGCTCTCGAATCACCGATTTGAGAACCGACTCCATGTTTTCTTTCTTTTCTTTTCTTAACCGTTGCACAATACTGTTTCCACACGATTCTCGTTCTACGGACTCGTTCTTCGGGGTTGTTAGATCCAGTCCCGCTGAATTAAATCCGAACCCTAAAAGGACCTAGCGATACAACTTCAGCGTTTCGTTAGGCACAGCCTCCTGTGGTTCAAGTTAGTATAGCATCAATGATCAACGTTCATTATTGCGCAGTAGTTAGCGCTTAATAGTTACGGTCGAAGTTGACCTCGTAGTCAGGCCATGCGGTATCTCAGTACCGATACCATGCCAGGTGGAAATCCTTGTGCCGCTGATCCTCGTGGCGTGGTTGGCATTATCTGGCGTCATTGTCAACTGCTCCTTGTTACGGGCCGTGTGGCCCGGTTCCCGCGGCTTCTGTGTTCAACCGTTTGGCATGGCACCCAATGCTGCGGACTTTGCTTTCTGTTCGTGTTCGCTCCCCCCAAATCCATCCCCGCGTGTGTCCGCGCAGTAAGACGCGTGGTATGGGAGCCGGGCGCAAGCTGCGCAACCACCGGCGCAACCAGCTGTGGGCGGACAAGCAGTACAAGAAGAGCCACCAGGGCAACGAGTGGAAGAAGCCCTTCATGGGCTCGTCTCACGCCAAGGGCATCGTGCTCGAGAAGATGTAATTTCCTTTTTCCAACGTGTTTCCCCGGTTCCTCACTTGCTCTTTCTGTTTCGCGTGTCGCCTTATGCTTCTAACCCTCTGTGGGCCCCTCTTCTCGCACGCCAAAGGCATCGTGCTTAGTAAGATGTAAAACACTTTTCTCCAGTGGCTTTTTCTTGCCTAGCAGCCCAACTCCGCCATTCGCAAGTGCGCGCGAGTGCAGCGGCAACAAGACTTAGCACCCCCTCCTTTCGCCCCCCTCCCTATCGCTCCTTATCTGTCCCTCTTTCTCAGTGGTATTGAGGCGAAGCAGCCTAACTCCGCTATTCGTAAGTGCGCGCGAGTGCAGCTGATCAAGAACGGCAAGAAGATCGCCGCGTTCGTGCCCAACGACGGTTGCCTCAACTTCATCGAGGAGAACGTGAGTGCTGGCGCACAGGGGAGGGGAGAAGGGAGGGGGAGAGGAGGGACGGGAGGGTTGCGTTGGAGGAGGGGGGGTGGGTGGGGGAGGGGAGGAAAGGAGAAAGGGATGCAATGCAAGCGTGATTGTAGCGGGGGGTGGGAGGCTAGTGTAATTGTAGAAGATAGTCTCGTTCTTGCCCAGAACGGCATGCAACTGCATCGAGGAAAACATGAGTGGACGGCGAGCGTCCATGGGGTAGACGGAAGGGAAAGTAAGTTGGAACGGCAGAGGGGATGTTGAGTGCGTTTCATGTGTCTGTTCAGGTGCTTATTGTCTAAATCCCACTGCCATCCCTCTCCTCCCTTGCCGTCCTGACCCTCCCACTTCTCCCTCAAATCCCCTCCGCCATCCCATTCCGTCCTCTCCGCCTCTCTCACCCCAACAGGACGAGGTGCTCATTGCTGGATTCGGTCGTAAGGGACACGCTGTGGGAGATATTCCCGGTGTGCGGTTCAAAGTGGTGAAGGTGTCTGGTGTGTCGCTGCTCGCTCTCTTCAAGGAGAAGAAAGAGAAGCCCCGGTCCTAGGCAAAAAGGGTTTTATCTTGATTGTAACAGATGTGATCATCATTTGATGAAATTCCAGGCGTATTTGAATTCCAAGCTGCACGTGTTGCTTGGTCTAGAGAAGCAATCATCTATGGCGGTGCAAGGGCTTCAGGCATGAATGGGCGTTTTTGCATTGCTTCGTTGGCCTAGAAGTTTAATGGGACGGGACAAAAGGATGAGATCAAATTGTTTATACCGTCATACCCCAGATATAAGCGCCACCCGCGGATAAGCGCCTGGCGCTTTTAATTGGCGTGTGGCGCTTATATCCAGTGCTCGATTATAAGCGCATACCTAAAATGCTTACAGATTATAACCGCATACATATACCGAACACATTATAACCGCCACCCTGGTTTTTTGTTGTTTATTTATTTTTAAGACATTTTATACATTTAATCCACTAGCATATCATGTTAGTTAATCTACAACTAGTTTATCTACTCCTAGTTGATCTACTTCTACCTACGAGCCTTACACAGGCTTCACCATTTTCTAGAATTCTACCCTACTCTAATCATCAGCTACAGTGGGGTCATCTGGGTCGGCCTCAGAGTCCGACTCAGGTTCCTCTACGTTGTTGCAGAAGAAACCGTCTGCTGCAATTTCATCATCCATGTCAACCTCCTCGCCCTCGAGCTCGTCTCGCCTGTGTTGCAGGCAGAGCTTGTCCTGGGACCCATCCAGGGCGTTGCTGATGCCGCAGGTGAGGAACGCCCGTTGAATGAGCTCCTTGGGCACGGACTTCCAGGCCGCCGAGATCCACTTGAGCGTCAGCTCGACAGGAGGCTTCTTGATGTTGCCTGCCACGCAAATCCACAAACCGGGTCAGCACGGGTTAAAGAAATAAAAACATAAACAGTGCTGCACCTCTCACATTTCTTCGTCAAGGTGTCGACCCCCTCACGCTCAAACCACTCCTGGTAGAGCTGGCGAACGGCGGCCTTGAAGGAGCGGTTAACCGCGACGTCGAGGGGTTGAATCTCCGAGGTGCAGCCAGCAGGGATAACCGCAAGGGACCAGGTTGAGCTCGCCAAACTTCTTCTTTGTTGGGCTGAAAAGCCCTTAGGATCTTTGCAGGGGATGACTCTTGGGTAGAAACTTGTAATAGCGGAAGCGTTTAATGAGGATTGTGAACCGACCTTGCACTGGTGTGTGAGAGCAAAGTGGATTATATATAAGAGTACAGGGAATACGAATAGATAGATAACTGTATTGCTGTTGCGGTTCGATATAGTGCGACTCGGGCAACTGCTCTGTAACGAGTCAGTTGTGTGTCCTTAACTGTCGCGCTGTAATTGTCGAGTCAAAGGTCGCTGACCTTTGACTTTCTCGTAACCTCCAGGCGGTTACTCTAACCTCCGAGGTTGACTCGATGCTTCGATTGGGACTACTTCGCTTGGTGCCTTGGATTTTGGCACGACAGAAGTGTCAAACATTATATATGTTCTGCTTGTGTAGGCTACAGTGGGTTAGCCTATAGGGGGTACACAATTCTAGGGTTTCCTACTTGTACTCATTTTCACTGCTAGTTCATTCATTCCTGTTCGCTTATTCTCACATGGTATAGAGCGGGTCCTTCTACGGACCGTTTTTTTTGGGCCCACCGAAGCGCCCCCCGAGGCGCGATTTTTTTTAGCGACCCCTCGGGTCGTCATTTTCCCTGCGGCCCCGCCGCTTTCACTGACGCGGCCCCGCCGCCCTCTCTGACGGGGCCCCGCCGCCGGCCCTTACGCGGCCCCGTCGCCGGCTCTCACGCGGCCCCGCAGCAGGCTCTGTCGCGGCCCCGCCCCGGCCTTTACGCGGCCCCGCCGCCTGCTCTCACGCGGCCCCGCCCCGGCTCCTTCGCGGCCCCGCCGCCTGCTCTCGCGCGGCCCCGCCCCGGCTTCTACGCGGCCCCGCCCCGGCTTTCACGCGGCCCCGCCGACGGCTTTGTCGCGGCCCCGCCCAGGCCCTTACGCGGCCCCGCCGCCTGCTCTCACGCGGCCCCGCCCCGGCTCCTTCGCGGCCCCGC